TAGAATGCGTAAACCATTCACATTTATTTAATTACTAGCAAGGTGAGATTTATATCCCCTTTCTATGTATTTTCTATAAGTCATGCCTTTCATGTTCTTCTGTTACTACTTTCTTTTATGTAAAATAGATATTTTCTAATGTACCATTTAAATTCTCCATGGTTTCTTTTATTCTTTTTTTTTTTTTTGAGTTATAGTCTTAATGTTGCCCTAGAGATTACAATTAACTTCTTAACTTACCACAATTTAATTCAGATTAGCACTAATTTTACTTTATTTTAATAGTATACAAAAACTTTACTTCTATATAGCTCAATTTCTTCTCATCTCTTTTATGCTGTTATTGTCATATAAGCATATAAGTGACATTCTTTTTTTTTTTTTTTTTTTTTGAGACGGAGTTTCGCTCTTGTTACCCAGGCTGGAGTGCAATGGCGCGATCTCGGCTCACCGCAACCACCGCCTCCTGGGTTCAGGCAATTCTCCTGCCTCAGCCTCCTGAGTAGCTGGGATTACAGGCACGCGCCACCATGCCCAGCTAATTTTTTGTAGTTTTAGTAGAGACGGGGTTTCACCATGTTGACCAGTATGGTCTCGATCTCTTGACCTTGTGATCCACCCGCCTCGGCCTCCCAAAGTGCTGGGATTACAGGCGTGAGCCACCGCGCCCGGCCATAAGTGACATTCTTATATTGTGTATCTAACACAAATTTAAAATTATGCAATTGTCTCTTAAATCATATAGGAGAACAAAAGAGATACAAACAAAACATACATTTATCCTGTCTTTTATATTTATGTATGCAGTTACCTTTACTGTGTTCTTTATTTCTTCATGTGGATCTGAGTCTTTTAAGTTCAGTCTAAAGTTCCTTTAGTCTGAAAGATTGTATTTTATTTCTTGTAGGGTAGGTCAACTATTGATTGATTCTCAATATTCTGAGATAAATTTCCCAGTTTATTTGAGAGTGTCTTAATTTCTCCTTCTGTTTTGTAGAATAGTTTTTTGCTGGATATAGAATTTTTGGTTTACATTCTTCTTCTTTCAGCTGTTCAAATATGTCATTCCCCTGCCTCTGACCTTTGTGGTTTCTGATGAATAATCAGCTCTTGATCTTTTTGAGGATTATTTATAATTGACATGTCACTTATCTTGCTGCTTTCAAGATTTTCTTTTGTCTTTGGCTGTAGATAATTCGATAATAATGTATATAGGTATGGATCTCTTTGAGTTTATCCTATGTGAAGTATATTGAGCTTCTTGGATGTATAGATTCACTTTTTAAAACTAAATTTAAGAAGTTTGGGGTCATTATTTCCTCAAATATTCTTTCTGCTCCTTCCCTTTTCTCCTCTCTTGCTGATCTCCCATTATGCATATGTTGGTATGCTGGATAGTATTCTACAGGTCTCTGAGAGTGTGTTCATTTGTCTTCATTTTCTTTTGTTTTCATCATCAGACAGGACAATCTCAGTTGACCTTTCTTTACCTCCCTTGATCATTCCTTCTGCCTTCTCTAATACACTGTTGATCCTCTCTAATAAATTTTCACTTATTATACTTTTCAACTTCAGAATTTCTATTTGGTTACTTCTGGGAACAAAGAAAAGTGACAGGCCACAGGGAACAAACCAGTAACCTTGGAATCTCAAGAAAAAAGTTCAAACCTACCACGCCACAAATGAATGAGTTTCTAAATGCCTTGAATACCACCATCTCAGCTAAAATTAAATTCTGTCAATGTATGTCGTAGTATCACATTGCATGAGACTTTTTAAACTGCAGAAAGTTTACGTGATTCTCAAGCTATGTCACATCATGAGGAAACCTTTTAAATCTTTTTTTTTTTTTTTTTTTTTTTGAGACAGTATCTCGCTCTGTCACCCAGGCTGGAGTGCAGTGATGCAATCTGCTCACTGCAGCCTTCATCTCCCAGATTCAAGTGATTCTTCTGCCTCAGCCTCCTAAGTAACTGGGTCTTACACGTGTGTGCCACCATCCCCAGCTAATTTTTGTATTTTTGGTAGAGACAAGGTTTTGCCATGTTTCCTAGGCTGGTCTCAAACTCCTGACCTCACATGATCCACACGTCTTGGCCTTCCAAAGTGCTGGGATTACAGGTGAGAGACACTGTGCCTAGCCACCTTTTAAATCTCTAACTTATGACACTTCAAAGGCTCAGGCCTTCTCTGAGCTCCGCTATCAGTTGACTCGGGCTTTACCTAGAACATGCACCTTGCTGGGACTGTTTTCCCAACCTGTCAAATAAAGTTGCTGGAATGATACTTTTTTTGAGATGGAGTCTTACTCTTGTTACCCAGGCTGGAGTGCAGTGGCGCGATCTCAGCTTACTGCAACCGCCACCTCCTGGGTTCAAGCAATTCTCCTGCCTCAGCCTCCTTAGTAGCTGAGATTACAGGTGTCCACCACCACACTCGGCTAATTTTTGTATTTTTAGTAGAGATGGGGTTTCACTGTATTAGCCAGGCTGGTCTGGAACACTTAACCTCAGGTGATGCACCTGCGTTGGCCTCCCAAAGTGCTGGGATTACAGGTGTGAGCCACCACGCCTGGCCGGATTGATCTTTAATGTCCTTTCCTGCACTAATGTTTGATAGGTCTAAGAGTTGCATTTTTGGATAGACCTGTAGGATAGAAATGATAATAAAACAGAGAAAAATTAAACCAACCCCCTGCCACTTTTAGCCTGATAAGAATTAACTGAATCGCAGAAAAAGAACTCATCAAACTTAACAGAAACTCTTTTTTTTTTTTTGAGACAGAGTCTCACTCTATCTCCCAGGCTGGAGTGCAGTGGCGTGCTCTGGGCTCACTGTAACCTCTGCTGCCTGGGTTGAAGCAATTCCCCTACCACAGCCTCCTGAGTAGCTGAGATTACAGGTGCCTGCCACTGTGCCCTGCTAAGTTTTGTATTTTTAGTAGAAACAGACTTTCACCATCTTGGCCAGGCTGGTCTTTAACTTCTGACCTTGTGATCCACCCGCCTTGGCTTCCCAAAGTGCTGAGATTACAGGTATGAGCCACTGCGCCTGGCCAAGGAACTCTTAATTCTGAGTGGATCTGCTGCATTATTTTTTCACCTATGACATTTATCTCTAATGGACATGAATCAGTCTCTAATGGACAAGATGAATCAGTGATGTCACGGAGCCAGCTCTGTAAAGATTTAGCCATATGGGGCTGGGCACAGTGGCTCACACCTGTAATCCCAGCATGTTGGAAGGCTGAGGCAGGCAGATCATGAGGTCAGGAGTTCGAGACCAGCCTGGCCAACAGAGTGAAACCCCGTCTATACTAAAAATGCAAAAATTAGCCGGGCATGGTGGCGAGCACCTGTAATCCCAGCTACTCAGGAGGCTGAGGCAGGAGAATCGCTTGAACACGGGAGGCAGAGGTTGTGGTGAGCCGAGATCTCACCACTGTACTCCAGCCTGGGCAACAGGAGAATCTACCTCAAAAAAAGGAAAAAAAAAAAAAAAAAAAAAAAAAACCAAACAAACATTTAGCCATATGGATAGTTAAGAAAAGTGGGTCTAACTGAGGTTAAAAAACAATGAACTACCTCAAAATTAGATTCCTTTTTGGCTTCTTCTACTGATAATGGTGGTCAAGTAATCTTTGTTTTTTGGGGTTAGCTTGTTGAAACCATTGTCCATTTAGTCAAGTAAGCCCTGATTTATATCCTTGGTAAAAATAAATGTCCTCTTAGAAGTTGTTACTGGTACATGTGGATGGGTTTTCACCTCCTAGTTTTGAGCCAGTCAGATCATTCACTTCATAAGGGATTGGTCCAATAAGCTGCATTTGTCAGTCTTCCAAATGCCAGCATGTAAAGCTTGATCTTTTTATTTATCCTTGCTACTGCCAATTTATCTAAAAGATCAATGAGAACATAAAATGTTTTTCTGCTGTATTCTCACTTTTATTGCATCTATAATAAAAATGTTATTTTAGTAAATAAGGATGGTTCAGTTCATAGCAGAAGTGTCTTTTTTTCATCATCTTCCCAGTAGTACCCAGAGCCAAAGTGTAATGTTTAGTTACACTGTGGTTTCCTAGTTTCTTGTTCAAATCTGGCAACTACAAGCAAAGGTTAACTAAGAGTGATCATTTTTCTCTATCTGCTTTAAGTAAGATAAATGTAAAGCCAGTAGCCACATATATAGGCATGTGTGTATATGCATATATATGTATACTTGCATACATATAGGTTTATATATGCATTCACTATTTTTACAGAGAAAAATAATATTTTCTCTGATGTTCAGTTTTATAAAAAGTTGACATGAAAATATTCACATTTGCATTTCAAAAGAATGACATACTTCATGTTTAGTACCTTATGAGGCATACTTATACGTCAACCAGTAATATAGTGTTAAATATGAATTTTAGCCTCTGATAGGAAAAAATATTTGTCAAATACTCTGTAATAATTTGTTATAGAACTGAAAGACTGATATACTTCAATTTGACTCTTAAAGGTTATTACATATTATTAAAACATCTCATAATCGTATCATTAAGGAACGAAGTAGTGGTTCTCTGCATGTATTCTTGCTTTTGTTGGGTTAATATGAAAATTCTAACATAGTACCCTGGTTTACATTTGAGCAAAACTGTTAAAAAAGGCAGGCACCTAAATGTCATTATCCATATTGATCTTTATGATTTTGTGTATGTATTTAAGTTGACATAAAGTGTAGTTTCTTAGTTTGCCCTTGACTAGTTTCTTTCAGTTTTTCACGTATGTGACTATACACTTAGGAATAAAATGGAATTATCTAGTTATACTTCATCAGGAAGTATGATTATGTTATAGGTAACATTGGACTAAAAACAAGTTTTATACTACACATCCAATGTGTGGTTGTAAGAAGGGTAGAAACATACTCTCACAGTGAGTACACAGAGGAGGAGCCCAGTGCGCTGCTCTGGTAGTTTTATTTGTGGTAACATGGCACGTTTGTCTCTACAGGGGGATCTTTGGATGTATATAGGAAAATCCCAGAACATGTCCTTGGAAGAATTGCAGTAGCAGTAAGTATATGGCTTCAGTGTTAGAAAATATGAATGTTTTAATCCTTCTAATCAAGCTCATTCTTATATTCTCAGAATGTTTTTTTCTTGTTCTTCAGTCTCAGTTGGCTTCCAAGACCTTCTTAACTGTTCTGTTCTTTCTTCTTTTCATAGACCACCCCACCCACTATCACAACATAGTCACATGCTTATAAACTCCAGCCTGTTCGTGTGTTTGCAGGGACCTTGGTGTTCTTGTTGACTCATAAAATTTCCAAGTTTTTCTTCAAAAAAACTGCTTTTTTTGTGTTTTTACATTTTGTAGTTGTAGGCATGATTCGCAAATACTTTAAAAGTCTGAGTAATTAGTCTATGTAAAGACTTTTTGCAGTTTTTTATGTTCTTGGTTTTTAATTTTTTCATCAATTACATCTAGAAATTTATTCCTTTTGTGATTTAAAGAAGTTTTCCCATATTCGTGTATTTTCTATATGCACTAATATATTGATGAAATATATCAACTAAACTAACATTACTATAATGTTCTTATAAGTTCCAGATTTCACATTTAGAATAATGTAGGTTAAGCAGTGTCTGAGAGAAGTCATGGGTGGCATAATAGTAAACAATTGCTAAACTAAAAGCACTATAACTTCAGTGGTTTAATGCAGAACAAAGTGATTGTACCATGTACCATTTAATTAAATGGATGATTTTCACATTCATTATACATCAAAATGACAACTCAAATTCTTTAATCCAACATGGACACTTATTTAGTCTTAGTTCATTGTAATTCACAGCTTTCCTTTTTTCTTTCTAATTATTAGTGTGAACTGCCCTGGGGGATGAGAACTTTCTTTTCTGATGCTATTACTGCTAAGTTGCTTCTCATCTACCTGTGTAGGTAGATTCATATGAAATTTGAGTACTTGAATCACTATTTTAGATGAAAATAAATATGTTTCGTTTCCTGTTCTAATCTTAGGAAAGAATGAATGCTTTGTGGCAGTTCTTGGCTGTAAAGTTTAATAATATGTATAATAAAGGGCAAAAAAAGGCAAGGATACCAATTGAAAAAGAAAAAAGTGTACAAGTTCTGTATACTCAATTATCTATGGAACTTGGAAAAATAGAAGTCTGCCATCTTCAGTAGAGAAACATGTTCTTCGTGAGCTTAATAAATCTTACTTCCCTCTTGTTTAGGGCATCCACACAAGGCCACTGATCTTTTCGATTCTACTGGAGTAGGAAGCCTGTTGAAGTGAATAGAGTCAGCAGAAAAAATAATTCAGGGCTTGCCTATTAAATGAATGAAAATATGACACAAATTATTTTAGTGAAAGGCATTCAAGTAAGTGCTACTCCAAAGGATTTATATTTGCCCTTACTTTTTTTAATTAAGGGTTTTCCCCCTAAATATGTGTCTAATTTTTCCAGCTTTTGTGGCTCATCAGGTCATAGTAATGAAAACTTCTTATAGCTGGAGAAGAAATGCTTTTGATAATTTTGTTCTTTGTCTGCCACTTTTAATAAATTCTGCTGGAACCTAGGTTTGTATAATGCCTCCAAAGTGTATTTTTTTAAATATGTAATCTGAGTAGGCCACACATTTGGATTATCATTTGTTGCAGCTCACAAACACCAGATTGGCCCATGGCTAAGACCTGACACCAGGAAGCTTGTACAAGTCAAAATAAGACTAACGAATTGATCAGCTGTAGGTTATGATATGTAAACGAAAATAGTCTGATTGTTTTCCCAGTATCCTTGGTTATCTCTCTTAAAGTGTACTGAAGATGGCATCAACATCTTTTCCTTGAGTTTCCTCATCGAGGCCAAGAAAGCACATAGATGCTGTTGCCAAGTCAAAAGTAACACAATCAGAAAGAGAGAGTCGGGAAATAGGTGTACATTGAACAGTTCCTGTGCCAATCACCATTGCATGCTTTCTATACAAATATTACGTCATTTGGCCATTACAGCCGCCATGTAAAGCGTAGGTTATTGGACATACTCTGTGCGTATGCAGGATGAGGTTTAGAAAAGTTAACCAGGTTGCCCAGAGTTATCATCTAATTAGTCAGTACACATTTGAACACAGGGCTGTCTGACACCAGACCCCTTGCTTTCTCAGTGTGTTTTCCTGACAGAATGAGAAGAGGAGAGAAAAAAAATAGAGGCAGGAGTGAAAGAAAGAGCTGGGCTAAAATATAAAAAAAGAGACTTATTGAGAGAATAATGGAGCAACACATACAATTGCTTCAGATTATTTTCATGTCTGTAGGTACCTCTCTTCCCAAATTAACTTTGTTTTCCAGGGTCTAATAATCTGACATGCAAGGCAGGTTCATAGGTCCAAGGTTCATTACAGTATGGACCTCTGTTGGCCTCTGTGATATGTTATTCCAATTTCCTCTGGTAAAATGTATGGCAAGAGGGCATTTTTTTTTAACCCAAAGGAATTTATATATACCTGATTTCAGCCTTCCAGCTTGCTCAGTGGTTTTTCTCTACTATCCATTTGAATCTGGTCTTCTATAAAGAGGAATGCCTTTCTACCTTTCCCTGCCACCTAACACATTCTATTTTTCTTCTCATTTCTGAGGCGGTGACACTGTGTGCTATATTTTGAGTGCTAATGTTGATTGAAGTTGTCCCTGAAAGGATGTGCACTTGACATGTCAAGGAGCGAGTGATTGACAACAGATACAAGTACTTTTAGTGTCAAGGCTTTGTCAAGTCATTGTTGTGAAACCCAGCCTACTGAATACCAATAATACCCTTTAGATTTTCAGTTCACAGATTTCTGGCTCCTTTTTCACCAGAATTTAGATGTTTCTAAGGAAAAGTGTAGTGTATTTTGACAAAGAAGAATAAATTTTCATTTTGAATCTCTAACAAAATGTATAATTTTAACAAATATTATAAAATCAGTATTTGTTTTGCTTTTTTCTACCTGAAAATTCAAATATATTGGATTGCCTTTCCCTACATGTTTTCTGAAAATTCATTTTGTATGGAACCAGTTTTTAGTGGTGAGCTGTGTTTAATGGATAGGTTTTATAATATTCAACTAAGCTTCTAAGTTGAAAATTTTAACCCTACTTCCTCAGAATGGAGAAGATGATTACCTCCGTGCTAAATAAGATGACTTCCTCCTGCTACTCAAAGAGAAAATTGTTTTCATTATGGATGTTAATTTTTATAAACATTTAAAGAAATATTTTATTATGTTTCCTTCTGTGATAAAATTATCTTAATATTTTGATATTTTCTTTTTGTGTTAGCTGTCCAGAACACGTGTGTTTTATTGTAATGCCAGTTATTTCCAAACTCTGGAAGAAGTCATTTGTTATAAAAGCATATGCTCTTCTCTTGGAATAGACAAACGTGTACTGGAATTGATGAATCTATGTCAGCAAATCTTTCGGGAGTACATTGCACCCTATGAGAACAATTAAAATATGTTAACCTCTGCTCAGTATTAATTGATACAGATTTTGTCTTCTAGATCTTTAGTATTTGGATATTGGCTTTCTCCCATTGCATTTCCTTCCTTCCTTCCTTCCTTCCTTCCTTCCTTCCTTCCTTCCTTCCTTCCTTCCTTCCTTCCCTCCCTCCCTCCCTCCCTCCCTCCCTG